AAACCTGACAAAAACAAGCAATGGGGAAAGGATTCCCTGTTTAATAAATGGTGTTGGGAAAACTGGCTAGCCATGTGCAGAAAGCAGAAACTGGACCCCTTCCTGACACCTCACATTAAAATTAACTTCAGATGTATTAAAGACTTAAACATAAGACCTAACACCATAAAAACCCTAGAAGAAAATCTAGGCAAAACCATTGAGGACATAGGTGTCGGCAAGGACTTCATGATCAAAACACCAAAAGCATTGACAACAAAAGCCGAAATAGACAAATGGGATCTAATCAAATTCCACAGCTTCTGCACGGCAAAAGAAACAGTCATTAGAGTGAATCAGCAATTAACAGAATGGGAAAAAATTTTTGCAGTCTACCCATGTGACAAAGTGCTGATTTGCAAAGAACTAAAACAGATTTACAAGAAAAAAACAAGCAAGCCCATTCAAAAGTGGGTGAAGGATATGAACAGATACTTTACAAAAGAAGACATACATGAGGCCAACAAACATATGAAAAAATGCCCATCATCACTGGTCATCAGAGAAATGCAAATCAAAACTACATTGAGATACCATCTCATGCCAGTTAGAATGGCGATCATTAGAAAATCTGGAGACAACAGATGCTGGACAGGATGTGGAGAAATAGGAACACTTTTACACTGTTGGTGGGAGTGTAAATTAGTTCAACCATTGTGGAAGACAGTGTGGCGATTCCTCAAGGATCTAGAAATAGAAATTCCATTTGACCCAGCAATCCCATTACTGGGTATATATATCCAAAGGATTACAAATTGTTCTACTATAAGGACACATGCACACGAATGTTCATTGCAGCACTGTTTACAACAGCAAAGACCTGGAACCGACCCAAATGCCCATCGATGATAGACTGGACAGGGAAAATGTGGCACATATACACCATGGAATATTATACAGCCATCAAAAACGATGAGTTTGTGTCCTTTGTAGGGACATGGATGAACCTGGAAATCATCATTCTCAGCAAACTGACACAAGAACAGAAAATCAAACACTGCATGTTCTCACTCATAGGTGGGTGTTGAACAATGAGAACACATGGACACAGGGAGGGGAGCATCACACACTGGGGTCTGTTGGGGGGAAATAGAGGAAGGACAGCGGGGGGTGGGGAGTGGGGGAGAGATAGCATGGGGAGACATGTCAGATATAGATGATAGGGAGGAAGGCAGCAAATCACGCTGCCATGTGTGTACCTATGCAACAATCTTGCATATTCTTCACATGTACCCCAAAACCTAAAATGCAATTAAAAAAAATTCTTCCATAAGAAAAAATATATTTAGTGGAGCAAACGTTTGTGGGGAAAATAAAGAATATCTCCAAAGTGGGGCTGATGCAGAGAAAGACTCATCCCAGATATGGACCTGCAAGACCTAATAATTCAAAATGGAGAATTTCTGTCAACAGGTTGCATTTTCAGGGGAAGAGGACATATCTGTAGTACTGAACCTGTGGTCTGGGTCATTTTAAACCAAATTCTCCTTTGCTCACCTGGGAGAACAGACAAGAAGTGGTGCCTCTTCTCTTCCTCCTTCTGTGCCTACTTGTTGCTCCTGATGTCCCTGAGCCTACTGCTGGGGTCCTGCACCCCTTGATGCATCTTCTTGGGAGTGGAATGCTTTCTGCTCTCAATGAAAGCCTTGGACAAACATTTAGAACCCTCTGGCAACTCAAAAATCACTTGAATGAAGTGGATGTGTGGGCAGTTGCTTTTACGGGGCACAAGGGGAATTCCCTATCCCATTCACTCTCACCCCGAAAGAATGCAAAAGCAAAAACCATTTCATAGTTTTTCGAGATGGGTTTCTAAACCTTCTAAACTGTTACTTAGGGCGTTAGGCAACCTATTTGGTTAAGTTTAACAATATCTGTGAAACTGTATGTTTTAAGTTATACTGAGAAGTTTAACAGATATTTTATTATATCATACTGTACTATGTTTAGAAAGGAATCTTTTTCCACATGGTCAAAACTTACAAATAAAATAGTAAGAATAAGCATACTGAATACACACTTTCTTCATCAGACATTAAAAAGATAGATTCCATAGCTTAAATATTCAGAAATCTTCATGAGAAACATTCTATTAAATGCAAAGGTGATATATTCCTTTGAAAGGGTATTATTGCCTTTACAAAGATCTGGGGTGATTGTGGTGATGAAAAAGACTGTTGCACGTGTGTAAAATACATTGACTCGTTTAAAAATACTCTAACCTGTACATGCTTCCAGATCATGCAATCAACTTTTGCATAAATTTCATCAGCTTGTCTTTCCTCATCTTATGAATGAGGAAACTGAGGCCTGGAGAGGCAAAGTGGCTCACCCAGTTTAGACACTTGCTTTTTTACAATGAAAGGATTGTCCCGAATAAAATAAAACCAGAAGCTCAATAAAACTGTTGCAGTATCACTAGACTATTTCACACTTTAGTCACATGCTATACATCAAGGCCAGAAGCTTACTTACAGCTTTGGAGGTAGAAGGTGTAGGGAAGGCAGGCAGTTTATATCCTTATGTACCAGTTTTCCAGCCTGCTCTGAGATTAATCTCACATTGATGCAATCAGAGGAAAAGGTGCTGGTAGGAGTTTTAGCCTCTGAATAGCCATATTATACAGTAGTCCCCTCTTATCCAGTGGAGATACTTTCTAAGACACCCAGTGGATGCCTAAAACCATGTGAGTACCAGACCCTATATGTGCTATGTTTCTTCCTATACATACCTACCTATAATAAAGTTTATAAATTAGGCATATAAGAAATTAACAATAAAAAAGAACCATTATGACAATATACTATAATAAAAGTCACATGAATGTGGTTTCTCTCTCTTTCTCAAAACTATCTTATTATTCTATACTATCTTACTGTGATGATTTGAGATGATAAAATGTCCACATGATGAGATGAAGTGAGGTCAATGACTCAGGCCTTGTGGCGTAGCATTAGGCTACTACTGCTCTCCTGACAGTAGGTCAGAAGGAGGATCATCTGCTTCAGGTGACCCTGGGTCACCGAGCAAAGAGGAGGTGGATGGCTACATGTCAGGAGCAGAACATGCGGCTGCTAACAGGTGGGCAGTGTACACAGCATGGATGTGCTGGGCAAGGGGATGACTCACGCGTGGGCAGGATGGAGCGGGCTGCTGTGAAATTTCATCACGCTCCCCAGAACAGTGTTCAACTTAAAACTTATCAGTGGTTTATTTCTGGAATTTTCCATTTAATATTTTGAGTCAGCAGTTGACCACAGGTAACTGCAACCTTGGAAAGCAAAACCTTGGATTAGAAGGGGACTACTGCATTTTGTATGTGATTGATAGCGAGCAAAGAGTTTGTGAGGGTCAAACCCAAGTGGCTACAACTCACCACTGTCAAGAGTTAATACTACCCTTGTGTAAAGGCTGCCATCACTGCATCACGTGGCTGGATTTTTGTTTATTCTTCAACAGGCTAGCAACTGCAATGCACATCATCTTTCCATTCCTGGGCCTTCATAACCCTAACCATTATTCCCACGATGTGAAACAGAGCATAGATTTAAGGTGACAAAGCTATGGTTGGTAGATGTGAAGTATGTGTTGAGAACAGGATCCTCTGAGTACGGCACAGCCATTATGAAGTAACTGACCTATATGAAACTGCTACCATGGTTCACAAATTTATTGTCAGGTTCCAGCCTCTAGCTGTTCTCTGATTGTTCTAAATACTTGACAAACTGAAGCCTTTTCACTTTCCGTTGAAATTGCCTCATCTCCCTGTCAGAGCGCCATGGGGGACTCCATTACTTTTCTGACTTCTCTCCCCTCCTGACAAGTCATTTAGCTGGCTTCTTGTTGTGAAGGCTGTCCATGTCAAATTAGCCAGGGCCCCTATTGTCCTTATTACCACTCGAAAAGCCATCATGAGTAATGCTACGGGGTCCCTCAGTTGTCATCATTTGTCAGAAAGAAAGGGAGTGTGGTTACATATAGCTGACAGGTAATTTCAGTGTCTACAATTACCCCAATTAGTCTTGTCATAAACAATTCGATAAATGCACACCAATACAAACAGATAAACACACCAAGGTCTCTCACTATTAATGCTGTGTAATGGGTAAATCAGTGATATGATGCTATATTTTATTTATTTTTTTTAAACTATCCTCAGCTGTGAGCTGGCACTTGCTACCTGGTCAGCACAAATTGTACCTTCTACTTTCATTAGCTCATCACCACAAGGAAATTTGAAAGGCTGTGACAAAATTCATTTAAAGAGAGACAGAGAGAGCAGATTGTTATAACACCTGCTTTAGGCAAGGATACAACAAAGGTTTTCTTTTTGTCAGTTCTAAGCAACTACGGGCTTTAAGGTTCACTATTTTGTGTTAAAACACCAACGTATGAAATGTGAGAGAAACAGGGAGTCAAAAAATGATCTCCACACTGAAATTAGAAACATGATTTGGAAAAAACAAAAACAAAAACAAAAAGAGAAAACCTACTGCCAAATGTGCCAGTCAGCAACCACATATTTTAAAACAAGATTGTGGGCTGGTAATTTCACATTTAAGATGATTACAGTTTTCTTCAACTAAGGGTTCCCCCCTCCCTTTAAAAAAACTGTATCTTAAAACCATATAAATAAAGCTTGTCAAGTTCAGTGTCAAACTTATTTATCTACTCCAGTACTCATAGGAATTTGTTTAATAAAGGCATCAACGCTTCTCCTTGATGGACTCAACACAGAGGTGATTAAGACCCGGTAAGTGTGGCACACTGGTTTTCTCCGATATTCTCAAAATACCAGGGAATGAACCTGTTTTAACACAACACCCTCTAGGAGCACTCTTCAGTTACACTCTATATGCAACCCTGAATGAAGCGCCCTTAAGTTCGCTCTTGTGATCCACATAAATAAAGGCTCAAGATTCAACATCTGTAGCGTCCACTGCACCCTGTCTGTTTGCTGACCGCAATCTTAAGTGATGGCTGAAAAACCCAACATGAGGATATTGTTGTAGGAAATTGCTCTTGGCAACTATTTGTTCAAGCTCAAGATTTTTTTTTTTTTTTTTAAACCAACACTAAGAACCCACCAGAAAATAGGACAGGTCTCCCTAATGAGTAATCTATTTTAGCACAGTCTTGTCTAGGCATGACAGTTTACTGAGAGGCTTGAAAAACTCGTAATTACCAGTGTTACAGGGCAATTAATGTATATTACACTGCACTACTCATGGCAGCAACTGTCATTTTCTCAATAAAAATGAGTACTCTTCAGCTAAAGGTGACATTAATTGGGACTTTAATGACTATGCAGAGGAGCTGAAGCCAAATATGAACAAAACAGCGATTCAATGAGCGACTTCAGAAACGAGAAAATTGTACTAAAATGAGATTAATTGCTGTTTAGAAAAAGGAAAGAACCTAAAAAGCTATTAAATTGCAGGGTTTGGGTGCCCGGGTGATGGTTGTGATGTTAATCTTGCATTCTCACAGCAGGCAAATATTCACTAAATTCAGAGCCTTTTGACAGCAGGAAAAATCATGTATGCTTAACTTCAATCCATCAAAAATATATTTCAGCTTTTATCAGTGTTCTAAATACTTCTGCAATTTCAAAAATTACTGCTCCATTCCTTGGCTGTCATCATGCAAATGTGAACACTGTCAATATTGCTATGAAAAATTTCCCAGCTTCAAAAGGCCTACTTCAGTGATAAAGAAAGAAAAACGTGAAGATTAGAATTGCAAAACACACACTACTAATATAACAGAAATCAAACAATAAGAATTTAATGTTTAAGTTGTGGAAACTGCTAAAATAGAAAATGATGGGGTGGGCCTTTTTTTGGTAGAAAAATCAAAGAAAAATAATTCCGAAATTCTTTCAAGGCGTGTAACTTTATGCTAAATTAATCATCACCAATAATTAGGACAGAATTTTGCAGCTTGACTTCAGGTACCATAATTGTTAATACTGTTCTCTAGTTTCTAAAAGCCTTTTGATCCTTGCTTCTATGTTCTTTAGAAACAATTATACAATTGTTTTTCTTTACAGCCTTTTCAAATATCATGATGACTGTGTATGTAAAACATAGCACTTAAACTTTGACATGTAAGGGGGATAAACATATTTGATAATTCTGAAGTTATATTCTGTTACTTTCCTTTTTTTTTTTTTTTAAAGAGAGGCCATCAACTTGGTATTTTTGTTAAAGAGGGAGTTTTCAAAAGAGTTATATTTTGGACAGAAATGTAGCATTCACAATAGCTGCCCCATAAAAAGATGGAGGTCTGACTTTTGAATACCGTGCACTTTCCTACTGCATAAGCAATTCTGTTTGTTCTGCATTTTAATATTTAAAGAGCCTTCTCATCTACAGTTTAGGTCAGGGCTCAAGACACATTAACAACAATATAATTCTGGACATACTCAAGAACCACATCCACTAAATGACAGGCGGTGGTGAAATAGTGTACTTTCCATCTTCAAATCAATTATAAGCCCTGTCGATTCCAAAAATCCAAAAATACAAATCACCTGACCTCCATTATGAAGACTGGTTACTGGCCACTTGTCTGCCAGAATATACTTATAGGGCCAGTGTGGGAGAAGAGGAAAGAACCGAGAGAGAAACACATGCATACTCAGGCATAAGTCTGTACTCAACAACAGGCTATTCTGCTAAGTTTTATCTTCTAGCTGTTTTATTCACTGTAAACATGCTTTCTTACATTTTGAATCCAAGTTTGAGTGTAATCATCTTTGTAAAACAAGTTGCTGTCAGGGTCCAGCATTTCCCCAGTATTACCTGCTCCTCCTTTTCTTCCCATTTTCCCTTTCCTTGTATCTAGACTTTTATGTTAACAGCACAATTCTTCCCTAAGAGTCTCACAAATGTTCTTTTTAGTCCTTTTTTTGGGGGGTGAAAAGGGGCTTTTGTTATTCATTGTGCCATTTCAAAAACCAAGCTTCTCTCATACCTCAAAAACAGCTTTATTTTAAAGACAAAAAAATTCACCAAGCTCCCCCTAAAAGTCTTTTCAGGCAGGGTCCTTAGAGAAGACAGGTGCCTTTGGCTAAATTATCTCCACTGACAAACCATTCACATAAATTTGCTTTTTTTTTTATATATATGAAAAGTACATGTCAATAGTTTGATTCCATTTTGTCTATGCAAATACCATTGATAAAAATTTCAATGGAAGTTTTCAGGGAGTGGAAGAGTTCCAAGCTAGGTATTGAAATGGGACTCAGGAATAGGATACTAATTCACCAAACTTGCCAAGAATGATCTAACCCGGTAGCCATACAAAGGCAACTGCAAACCATCTACATGATCCCAGATAATCCCTTATACTGTATCTCTAGGATCTCATCTCCATTCTGCAGTTTACTGTGAGAGGCTCCATTTGGGGCTCCAGGTTTCCCATTTGCAAAATGGGAGCAACTTTGTCATGCTAAATTTGCTGCCTGTGAACTAGCGCTGAGCACTTGGCAGACAACGCCAGCTCCAGGAATGTTAACGATTGGAATAAACCTTTAGGAGAGTTCCTAAAATGAATGTATTTGATACTGTTGTGCAATTGCTGAGATTCTTTACCCCTCACAGTTGCCACCGTGGTGCTATGAGAAAGGGTGATCACATTGAATCACGTGAAAGGCATATACAAAAAAGCTAAGGCTGAAATTCCATTTTTAACCTCATTATTAGTTTGCACAAATATCATACGTCTCCCTTCCAAAATACTATTTAATGGTTTAAATTTCTTATTCAGGTCCCTCCTAAGATTGAAATGTACCACAATGCCCATCGATCTCACAACTGACAGACCATGTTTAAGCTGGGAATAGTGACAAGTTACAGGGACTTTTTAAAAAAAAATCAATTCCAGGAGATTAGTAAGATGCGTTTTTAGACACATACCCTCAGAACATTATAAACTCAATGAGAAGCCAAACTGGAATATCTCAAGTTTGGAAGATGAACAATATTTTGATGTGCCAAGGCTAATACATTATATGTTTCGAGTCTTACTATTAAGACCTGTAGCAACTGTTTTAAGAGATGAGTAGAAATAAAACAAATGGTAAATGTTTATTCTGTCACAGCTCTGAAAGAAAACAACTGTTAATTTGCATTAGCTTGGGATCACTTAGCAGACTGCTTTTTAAGAGCTATCACCTCTCAGCAGCCCATAAAACAGGAAGCTTTCATTCACATCCATTCTACCTGCTCCAGCAATATGATATTTCATTTACATTCATTTTCCACTCACCACCAATATTCAACAAATTAAAAGTCACTTCAAAACAGATAGCGTTCTTGTCATCGGGCAGAGAAAGTCAACAGACCAAACATCTGAGAGCCAACGCAGACAGATGCAGCCTCATCTACTTCATCTTCTGATATACCAAGCTCTAGAATCATAAACTTGAGGTACATTTTGAATCATCAAATAAACATTATATTTAATATACCTTTAGCAGAACCAGGATAGTTATGCAGCATAAATAAAAGTTCAGTGACCTATATTTATAGGTAACAGAATCTAAGCTTTTTAAATGAAGGTAAATCTTTTTTTTCATCAACGTTTGAGTTCTAGGATACATGCAGAAGATGTGCAAGTTTGTTACACAGGTAAACCTGTGCCATGGTGGTTTGCTGCACCTATTGACCCATCACCTAAGTATTAAGCCCAGTATCCATTAGCTATTCTTCCTGATGCTCTCCCTTCCCTGCACCCCTGACAGGCCCCAGTGTGTATTGTTCCCCCACCATTGGTCTATGTGTTTTCATTGCTCACCTCCCACTTATAAGTGACAACATGCAGTGTTTGGTTTTCTGCTCCTGCATTAGTTTGCTAACGGCCTCCAGATCCATCCATGACCCTGCAAAGGACATGATCTCATTCCTTTTTATGGGTGCATAGTAGTCCATGGCATATATATACCACATTTTCTTTATCCATTGTATCACTGATGGGCATTTGGGTTGATTCCATGTCTTTGCTATTGTGATAGTGCTGCAATGAACATATGCATGCATGTATCTTTATAACAGAATAATTAATGTTCCTTTAGTAAAAACCCAGTAATAAGTAAATACCATTTGCTGGGTCAAATGGTATTTCTACTTCTAGATCTCTAAGGAATTGCCACACTGTACTGTCTTCCACAATGGTTGCAAATAGCAATATTTTTATTTTTTATTTTTAGTAGAGATGGGGTCTTGGCATGTTGCCCAGGCTGGTCTTAAGCTCTTGGCCTCAAGCGATCCACACGCCTTGGCCTCCTAAAGTGCTGGGATTACAGGCGTGAGCCACGGCACCCAGCTCTCAAATTAACTCTAGAACCCTCCACTTAGGCAACACTGTTTTCATGAATACCCAGGAATTAAAATGGGATTAAGAGACGAATCTCATCTCATCTCAACCACGTCTGCCCATTTTAACTCTATTAATGCCATATATATACACATACACACACACACACACACACACACACACACATATGTATATATATGTGTGTGTATATATATATATATAAGCATATATATATATGCTTTCATCAATAAAAATAGAAGGAATGAAGTTCTTGATAAATGTAAATATAAAGAACACTTGGTTAAATCGTAAAAATATTCATTTTGTGGATATTGATCTAAAATTTAAAATACCTAAATTAGTCAGACTGGGTTTCCCTTATTCAGTCCCATCTAAATGTTAGAGGGTAGTTAATTAATTTTAATGTTACAGGACAAAAATATAAAAAAAAAAAGGGAAGGTTTTGGCATTTCATATTAGCAAAAAGATGCTTTTGCTTGTCGTACCTGTAATTTTGTTGGTTTGCTTTTTTACCTTTGAGTTGTCCACCCAACTAGCCCACACCTCTACCTGCTGATCCCCAGGCTTTTCCTAATGAGTTTTGTAGGTCTTCATCTCCCTTTTCATCAGTTGTGTTGTAAGGCTGGCCTGTTTTACAGTTATAGTATAGCCATGTCTTTAAAAGTTTTGGAACTGGCAATTCAGTGAGCTAAAATGGGGCGATATCTTTCATATCATACTAGCTGGCCCAACAGCTAATATTCTTAAAACTGTCCTTACTTAGAATGAGGACAGCTGGATCAAAACAGGCCTCTTTCCACAGACGGAGGCCAAGCCACTGCCTCCGTGCTCCCTCCCATTGTACTTTAAGCATTGAGCTAACACCGCACCCTCCAACCCACACACCACAGACTGTGAGCACCTTGAGGGAAGGAAGCAAACCCATCCTTGGATGCCTGGAACACAGCAAATGCTGAAATCCTGGCGCTGACACTAATGAATTAATCTTGGAGAAGTCACTTTATCTTTCTGAGCCTTTGCTTTCCTATCTATTAAAATGCTTTCAGTTTCCTAGAGGAGTGGTTCGGCTTGAACAAAATAATGAATGTGGAAGTGCTGTATAAATGCAATGGATTACTCCAGCTGTTGTTAATAATTACCATTTGGATTTATAGAATAAAATTGCTCGGTTTCATGGGACGAATGAGGGAGGTTCCTAATGGTCTCAACAGTTTTTTGCCATAAGGAACATATAAAGAATTCTAAGATGTCAGTCATACCCACACAGGTTTTTTGGTTTGGGTTTATTTCTTCTTTCCCTCTCCTGTGCCCCCACCACACCACCACTGCAAACCAACACATCTTTTCAAGGCTCTAGATGCTGCTCAGGAAGAAGTGGAGTGCTCAGATGACTGGGCCTGGAGTTTTATACAGAGGCACTTTCATTATGGCAACACAATGCATTTGCAGAAGGTATCTTGGCTCTGCTAAAAGGCAGGATTTTGCTGAGGTGGCCAAAAGGTCAGGGCGACCTAACTGGTGCCCTGTCCCCCATCTCCAGCACCAATGCCCTTAACTTCTCAGACTCACTACTCCTTTATATCATGTGTCCTCCCTTCACTCAGTGGCCTGGTGAAAATAACATAGATGGGAGAAAATCAAAGGGAAAGAAGAACACTTGGACAGGTAGGCCACCTCTCTATGGTTGTTTGGGAGCTACTAAGCTGGACATAAACACAGATGTACTTTTTTGGCTTTGCTTTTTGAAACAAGAAGCACTGTTCAGTTATTGATGTGATGGCATCCCATTCCTAATGTTCAGAACAGACCCAGTAAGAGAGCCAGCTGAGTTCAGACCGAATCGTGCCACAGACTTCACAACACAGCATTTATCTAGTGTAGGATGAATAATTTCCACAGACAGTGGAATTATTTGAGAAATCTATAAAAATAATGAAGCTTCAGAAACCTTGACGAGCTTAAATGCTACAGGAGCCACATGTCCCCAGTTCTCTACAGGACAAAAGGCACTGCAGGTGAATCCAGGGCAGGGCGTTATTTTTAAGTCTGCAGAGCAATACAAACACATTGTTTGCTTTAGATCATCTGGTTTGTCTTAATCACAAGCTAAAAATTCATTTGTAATGCTGTATACAAATGCCATGTTTATATCAGTATCACATGCTGCTTGCTTGAAATCGTATACATTAAAATTAAGAACAGAAATCCAAGTTAATGGTCTAAGACAACCGATAACAAAACCACTAAATTCCAGTTGTCAAACATCATTCAATATGTATATTTCTGGGGGTTTTTTTGAACAGTAATTATTAAAACTTAAAGCGATACGAGTGAGTGTTTATGACTTCCTATTGAAAAGCCCAACTTAAAGAGCATTCATTTCAGGTTGAAGAAAGTCACGTGGCCGTCTCTGTGCGATGGCCTACTGACTTTATATCCTCTTGTCAAACCTCAGCAGTTTTATTTGTCGTGATACATGCTGGAGAAGGTTGGAGGTTAAAGTTGATAGGAGGGGCAACAGGAAAATCAAGCAACTCCTTTCAAGAGATTACAACCTTTAGCATTTTGGGTCTGTTGGCAGTTTCTACAAACTTTACAAGTCTGTGGTTGGTGATGTTTTTGAAAAACTGATCCTCAAATCAGAAGTCACATGGATCTAGTAAATGCCCTTTTGCTTTGAAATAATCCCAAGAGATGAATGTATCCCCCAGCTGATGGCTGCTCGCTTTTTTGTTTTTGTTTTGTTTTTACTTTTTTGGTACTTAAATCTAAAATGGAAAAAAAAAAAAATCTGCTAACTTCTCAAGTATCTAAGATCTTAGGAAGTGAAATTACTAACCCGAAATCACTGTGTGGTTCCAAAAACAGAGAAGCAGCTGTTGTGAGAGAGAAAAGAAAAAGGAAAGTAAAAAGGCCACTGCTGGAGGCAAACTTTGTCGGGCAAGGAGACCCCAGTTTCTGTCCTGCAGAAGTGCTTGGACTCTTAGCAGTGTCACATTGAAAAGTGAGATATCTGGCCATGGCATCTATGCCACAGCAGAGAATCATAACAAAGTCACAAACTAAGACCCAGCAATGACTGAAAAAGATCTTATCACATAGCTAGTCCCTCAATTTGGCAGGCACTGGTTTACTTACAGATATTCTCCATCAGGTACTTCTAGCTACCTGTTATCAAATATGTACTGTGTGCTAGGCACTATGTAGATCTAAGCTCACTTAATCCTTATAAGGATTCAAATTGTGCCCATTTTACAGATGAGTAAAAGAAAAAAAAGAAGAGAAATTGAGAGATTTACCCCAGGTCATATAGTAAGAGATCAAACGAGAACCAAAATTATTTCCTACTGCCACTCACCTAAACCTGTGCCCTTTCTACTCAGCTACAATCCTTCTTGGGTTGTAATGAATGATTAAATAACTTCTAGTCTTTTCCCCTTCCTGGTTAAGTTTTTTAAATCCTCATTAGCTGATTTTATGCACAGTGTAGTGTTATGTAGCAGCACGCGAATAAGACTCAGTGTGAAAAATTCTCAGGTCTTGTATTAGGTCAGCATGTGGTTGGCTTGGGGTCTGATAATATTATTGGCTGTCATGAATTATCCAGAAAAATGTTTTGGTATTCAAAGAGTTCTCTATGTCAAAGTAGTAGATGGCAGTTACATAAAACTAAGTACTTGTGAAATTGAAACAATTCCTACCATGTTAACTCAATTCATTTCTGCCATTAAAGATTTTACCCAACCCACTGATTAGTGTTCAACACTGAGTGACTTACATCTCCCTGGGCTCAGTTTCCTCACTCATGAAATTAGATTATATCTATGAGAGATCTTGGCTAGCTCTAAAAAGACTTTAAGTCTGTGGTTTTTTAAAGAAAATCTCTAATTAATTCTGATAAACGAGCTCATAAAGCTTTTCAAGGAAATAGAGACCCCTATCTTTATGAGTGAAAGTTAAAAGGGGAAACACAACTTTGAGAAAAGTTCACTTGTGAGAAAGGGCATGGAATAAATGAAAACTCTAGGCCAACTGAAGCTGTGCAACATGGGAGCCCTTGTAACGGCACATAAATGCTTTACAAATAAATCTACTCAGGAATGTCCTGAAGGAAAATTATTTTGTCACCCAGAGTTTTTGTTACAAGTGTTATGGGAACTATCAACTTTTAATTAGAGAGATAATATAACAGGCTGGGCACAGTGGCTCACGCCTGTGATCCCAGCACTTTGGGAGGCAAGTGGATCACAAGGTCAAGAGATCAAGACCATTCTGGTCAACATGGTGAAATCCCATCTCTACTAAAAATACAAAAATTAGCTGGGCATGGTGGCGCACGCCTGTAGTCCCAGCTACTCGGGAGGCTGAGGCAGGAAAATTGCTTGAACCCAGGAGGTGGAGGTGGCAGTGAGCCGAGATCGCGCCATTGCACTCCAGCCTAGGTAACAAGAGTGAAACTCCATCTCACCAAAATAAAAAAGGTAAAAAAAGAGGTAATATAACAAACATTTTTCATACTTTGCCACTCATGTTTAAGATGAAGAAACACATGCTGGCTGAAACTTTTTTTTTGTTTAAATTCACTAACTGCTAAGAAATTTCCAACAATTTGAAAATGTTTTTTGTTTTGTTTTTTCCTAAAACTGGTTATCTGCTTCTGTTTGTTTGTTTTTTATTATACTTTAAGTTCTGGGTTACATGTGCAGATCATGCAGAATTGTTGCATAGGTATACACATATCATGGTGGTTTGCTTCAACCATCCCCGCCCACCACCCCCCATCATCTACATCATGTATTTCTCTTAATGTTATCCCTCCCCAATCCCCCCCCCCGCCAACTATTCCTAAAACATATTTCATAAAGATTCCTGCTAGAAAGTGTTTTTTCACCCTTGTAATTCTAGCACTTTGGGAAATTGAGGCAGAAGAATCGCCCAACCCAGGGATTCCAGACCAGCCTGAGCAGCTTTGTGAGACCCATCTCTACAAAAAATAGAAAAATTAGCTGGGCATGGTGGCATGGACCTGTAGTCCCAGCTACTTGGGAGGCTGAGGTGGGAGGGTCACTTGAGCCTGGAAGAGGGGAACGCCAATGCTGCAGTGAGCCATGGTTCTGAGCAACAGAATGAGACCCTGTCACACACACACACACACATGCTGGGGGCGGGGGGTGGGGAACATGTTTCCCACTTTTAGTGATACCTTGTTTCTTTTATTCATGAAGTAGAAGTGTGTATATGTAAACATATATTTATATATAATATGCATATACATGTATGATATGTAGATAACGGATAATTTTGTTTTATTTTTGTTTTTAAATAACATGAAGCATTAAAGAACATAGCACACCAGAACTCAGAAGCACTCAGTTCAAGTCCTGGTGCAAATAAGTTGAATAGTAAGCAATGCTAATGATTTAAATGGTACTGAATATCAGGAATCTAACTACTCCTATCGTAAATACCGTTCTTTCCAACCTAAATTTAACAGAAGAGGACAACACCTGTCTTTATATCCCTTATATGTTTTCTGCATTTCCATGTACGTATTTTTGTTCCTTCTCTATTTTGCACTTGTATTTCAGCAATAACTTCCCACTTGGCCTCCTTTCCCCAGTCTCTCTACTATTTCCACTTCCCAATACAGACAAAAGACATTTGCAAAAACAAAGAGAGAATCCCACAAACCAAACACCTATATTTGGTCTTCTACATGGTAGCCTAATAATATTGCTAAATATAATTAAGTCAGCAATTTGCTCAACAAAACCATCAGCACTGCCCCAGAGACACTGAAGTCTGTGGTGTCACACTAGGCTTTTCTTTACCTGGAGCCTGTTCCTTATGCTCTAATTGTACTAAAAAGTGTTTTTTGTATATACTTCTGTGTCCTATGATTTGAAAGATTTTTCGTAAGTAATATTCTTTCTTTTTTGTTTTTGGAGACAGAGTCTCGCTCCATCACCCAGGCTGCAGTGCAATGGCATGATCTTGGCTCACTGCAGTCTCCGCCTCTGGGTTTAAGCAATTCTCCTGCCTCAGCCTCCCGAGTAGCTGGGATTATAGGCATCTACCCCCACGCCCAGCTAAGTTTTGTATTTTTAGTAGAGGCAGGGTTTCACCATGTTGGCCAGGCTGGTTTTGAACTCCTGACCTCAGGTGATCCACCAGGCTTGGCCTCCCAAAGTGCTGGGATTACCGGTGTGAGCCACTGCTCCTGGCCTCATAAATAATATTCTTAAATGAGTTAGTTTAACTGATATGAATCAATTCTATGCTTACATCCTAAGAGTATCGAAAAACAATACATTCATACATATTGATAGATACATACAATCACTATCAATAATAGAATAATATAGATGAGGAAGAAAACCAGATTAACAGTTGTTTTGAAAGTTCAACAGACTTGTTATTTAGAGCTCTCTAAAGTGATCCATGCATATTTTTGGAAAGTAGTAGTTGTTTAATATGACAAGGAGGCCAGAATTAGATTATTCAGAATGTAATATATACCAAAGTTAAACAAATGGTCAAATAAATTAAAATATATATATATATATATATATATATATATATATATATATATATATATATAAATAAGTTCATTCTGGCCAGCATCATGTCTTTAAAGGTTTAGTACTTCTCACAGAGTGTAAATTTAATGGAAAACAATGACAAATTTACTTATCTTTTATAGGGTCCTGGGCTGATAACAAATGAAATGTTTAACTTAATATAAATATTTTAATGCAAAAATGAATCACAGCTTTACAAATGCTTGGTAAACTGCATTTTCTTCCCTTTAGTTTTATTATAATCTATCAGAAACCTCTGATGTTTAAACTGTATGTATAACCCTGGCTGGGTTTCCATTAAGATCCATTTATCATAATCTGCTCATACCTATACTTGGAAGTAGACAGACAATAAGAACATCACCACTTATTCACCCTTTCTGCTTACTGGCTTATGGATATACACAAAAGTGGTTGCAAATAATGATATTACAGGTACTCAGCTGCTCCTGGGATGTAGAAAGCTAGATATGGCAGCATTCAGGTCAATGGTCATATATCAGAAAAACTTCATGCCACAGAGATGTTGTAGAGCCAAAATATCCAACGTCATAAATTACATATGGGCTAATTAGAGCTATACACAAAACAGCATACAGTTGAATGCCATTTTCAAAATTATTATCTGAGTTTGATGTACAGAGGGATTTGGTGAAATGAGATTCAACTCAAACATTTATTGAGATTTATTTTATCACAGCTGGTTGGAAAAACCTTCCCTGATCACTTTATCATCATTTGAAAAAAAATGTATTCATTCATTTACTTGTTTATTTTCTGTCTTGCTCATCACAGTATAAGATCCCTAAGGATAGGGCCCACATCTGTCTTGTTCATTTCTGCATTCCTGATTCCCAGAATGGTGAACATAGTAGGTGTTCAATATGTACCTACTTAATGAGTGAAGATATTACCCTTGCCCTCAAGGAGTTTGTGTTAATTTGGTACACTGGACAGGGCAATCAGACCACCCTGAGGGAGACCTAGATCCCAGGAGGCAGCTAGATAAATATTCACACCCAATAATCCTCTGCCTTCTTAACACACATAGAAAAGATGCTAATGTGGCTGGTTGACATTTGCTCCCCCATGGAGAAACCTAGATAACCAGCAGGGCTGTGGGTATGGACTAGAGGGCTTGGGGGAAGCACTCAGGAGTCTGTTCCTGTCTCCACTGAAACAGATGTTGCTCTGAAGAGCCTACAAGGAAAGTGGCCCTTTTTTGCTATGTCCCCTCATTGCAGAATTCCTCCATACAATATCAGATTACAGTGACAAAGACTAATTTTCCCATCAAATGGAGGAAAGAAAAAAAAGTCTGCAAAGTCAACAATCTAGTGATGGATTTCATGAAGGCCTAGTAAATTTCAAGGAAATGGAAAACCAAAATTTTCAGAGACTTTTTATGAAAGAAAAAATGCAAAAAATGTCTTTAGAATGAAGAATAAAATGCCCAAGTTAATGGGTTTATATAGAGCCTCATTTTTTTTTTTTAAATTTTGTTTTTTTTGAGACAGGATCTCCCTCTGTTGCCCAGGCTGGAGTGCAGTGGCATGATCACTGTTTACTGCAGCCTTGATCTCCAGGGCTCAAGCGATCCTCCCACCTCAGCCTCCCAAATAACTAGGATCACAGGCACATACCACCATGCTCAGTTAATTAATATTGTTATTTGGAGAGATGGGGTCTCACTTGTTGCCCTGGCTGGTCTCAAAATCCTGGTCTCAAGCATCCCTCTTTCCTCAGCCTCCCAAAGTAGTGGAATTACAGGTTTGAGCCACTGTGCCTGGCCTGCCTCATGGTTTCTCTTTACATCTTGGAACACCTTGGAGTACATATAATGCTGACTCCATACCTGGGTTTCAAGCATCAGAAGTGGCTGAGACCCTGGACCACTGCATCCACTGATGCTAGGATTAGTTCTGGTTGTTGCATTTGGTTAGATTAAAAGAGGACATTGCACTGTTGGGACTTGCTACTGAAAAAGAGACGTTGCAGAACGTGGAATATCTTTGTGTGTTTTAGTACTAACTATGTTTAGGCTAAGCACCCTGCTCTATGACCTTGGTATGATTATCTTCTGCTTATTTCTTAAGTGAATTTGACTCTCCATGACTTTTCTTTCCAATCTATTCCCCATATTGCTGCTCATACAGTCTTTCTAAACAAAAATATGATCAGCTGGGCGTGGTGGCTCACACCTGTAATCTCGGCACTTTGTGAGGCCGGGGTGGGTGGATTGCTTAAGGCCAGGAGTTTGAACCAGCCTGGCCAGTAGAGACAACGAAACCCTGTTGCTACTAAAAATACAAAAATTAGCCAGGAGTGGAGGTGGGCGCCTGTAGTCCCAGCTACTCATGGGACTGAGGCAGGAGAATCACTTGAACCCGGGACGCAGAGGTTGCAGTGAGCCGAGATCTCACCACTGCACTCCAGCCTGGGTGACAGAGCAAGACTCCGTCTAAAAA